AAAAAGAATCAACAACTGGGATCTCATCTTATTAAAAAGCTTTTGCATAGCAAGAGAAACCACCAACAGAGTGAAGAGACAACCAACAGCATGGGAAAATTTTTTTACCAGCTATTCCTTGGACAAAGGACTACTATCTAGAATACATAAAGAACTCAAAAAAATCAGAGCCCTCAAATTTAAAGACCCAATCCAAAAATGGGCATCTGAAATAGACACTTCTCAGATGAAGTAGAAATAGCAAATAAATATATTAAAATTAAAATAATGGGTCATGCTGCATCGTGTTAGGGGTGTGAAGTTGTTCTTGAGCAGATCGTCTCTGCCCAAGGAGAAAATGAGTTTAGCTCTGAGAAGTGATCTTGTGATAGACAAAACAAAAAGGAAAAAAAGAAGAGAGCTCACTGAGGAACGGAAACAAGAAATTAAAGATGCTTTTGAACTATTTGATACAAAGATGAAACAATAGATTATCATGAATTAAAGGTGGCAATGAGAGCCTTACGGTTTGATGTAAAAAAAAGTGGATATACTGAAGATTCTTAAAGATTATGACAGAGAAGCCACAGGGAAAAATCACCTTTGAAGACTTTAATGAAGTTGTGACAGACTGGATATTGGAACGAGATCCACATGAAGAAATATTGAAGGCGTTTAAACTATTTGATGATGATGATTCAAGTAAAGTAAGTTTGAGGAATTTGAGATGTGTTGCCAGAGAACTAGGAGAAAATATGAGTGATGAGGAACTTCGAGCTATGATAGAAGAATTTGATAAAGATGGTGATGGAGAAATAAATCAAGAGAAGTTCACTGCTATTATGACTGGTGACAGTTAAAGAATTCTAAGGATAAACACTGAGAATATTGCAGTTACCATCTTAAATTCTATTTTTGTGCCTGGAGCCATGTTAAAAAAGAAACCAGCTGAATTCTTTTTTTCCAAAAGGACCAAAACTAAACATCTTCTGTGTTTATATGTACTACTGTTAAGTTTCTTTGTATGAACAGTGTTGTTAGTATTGAAATAGTTTAGCTTTGTATTATAATATGAGTTTTATATAAAGTTTTAAAAAATAAAAAAAATATTAAAATAATGCTGAGTTTCCATCTCACTCCAGAAAGAATGGCTGTTATCAAGAAATCAACCAGGGCCGGGGATTTAGCTCAGTGGCATCCTGCCTGCCTCACAAGCATAAGGTCCTGAGTTTGATTCCCAGCACCAAAAAAAAAAGAAAGAAGGAAAGAAATCAATCAATAACTAATGCTGGAGGGGCCGTGAGGAAAAAGAAACCTTTTCCACTGTTGGTGGGAGTGTAGACTGGTACAACCATTGTGAAAATCAGTGTGGAGATTTCTCAAAAAACTAAAACTAGGGGCCAGGGATTTAGCTCAGTCATTCCACTGCCTGCCTTGCAAGTGCAAGGACCCAAGTTCAATCTCCGGTACCAAAAAAAAAAAAATCAAAAAACTAAAACTAGAGGTTCCATTTGACCCAGCTATTCCTCTTCTTGGCATCTTCCTGAAAGAATTAAAAGCATCATACCACAGTGATATATGCACACCCATGTTTACAGCAGAATAGTTTGTAATAACTAAATCTTGGAAACAGTCCAAATGCCCATCACCCAATGAATGGATAAAGAAGATATTGTTTTTGTACAGTGGAGTACCTCTCTGCCATAAAGAAGGATGAGCTTCATACATTTCTAGCTAAATGGATGGACCTTGAGTGAAATAAATTGGACACATGTGTAATACTGCATTGTTTCTCTGGTGTGAGAAACCGAAAGTGGAAATAAGGACTGAAATGTATAATAGATACTGGGAAATGGGAAGAAAATGTTCAAATGAGAAGGGGAACAAGGGAGAAGGGAAGGAGAAAGGAAGGAAGGGATGTGAAAATAGAAGGAAAAATGGAAACAAAGCTTTTGTACATAGGGAGTGGAGGGGGCTTGAGGGAAGGGGGTAATGGGAAAAAAGGCAGGATGTATCATGTACAGGTGCAAATTCCCTACAATGAGTGTTATCATTATGTATGCTTAAAATGTACCAATAAATGTTTTGATATTAAAAAAAGAGTCACAATATTGTAGTATTTCCATTGAGATTGTGGCCCTTGAAACTGTCTCGGGAAAAGGTTGTAGATCCTATTCTATTGGTCTTCCCTTCACCTTTCTGCCCTTCTCATTCCCCTCTAAATTTTTTCTTCTTCTTTTTGAGACAAAGTGGCTTTGAACTCACTATGTAGCCCAGGCTGGCCTCAAACTCATGGCAATCCTCCTGCTTCAGCCTTCCAAGTGGTGGGATTACAGGCATGTGCCACCATGCCTGGCCTGTGGATTCCTTTCTTCCCACTTCACATACACAGTCCCTGAACAATCTCATGTGTGCCTTGTGACTTCAGTCACCATCAATAAACCCAGGGCTTGCAAATCTTTACCTCTCGCTTGGGTGTCTTAGCTAGTCCTTTTAAGTAGAACTGCCAACTAGCTGTCCTTATGTGGGTAGCCTGCAAGTACGTCAAACTTAACATTTCTAAAACTAAATTCCATTTTCTTGGTTTTTTCCCTGTATTTCTGATCTCAGTGGATAGCACCATCACCCAAACAGGTGTTCAGGGCAGAAACTACTTTTTGCCCTGACTCTGTCCCTGTGAGTATAGTCATAATCTAGTGTTGTGTTTGGGAAATGATGATATATTGATGCGAGAGCTCAGTAATTAGAAAAGATCCCATTATATTGCTAGTGTTCAACATAGTAGTACTAGAAAAAGGAAAAAATAGCAAAATATACAAAGTTAGGAAAAGAAAGGCAAAGCTATTATTATTTCCAGAAAAATTATTAAGAGCAGGGCATGGCGGTATATGCATATAATTCCAGTTACCAGGGAAGCCACTGAGCAATTTAGTGAGATTCTGCCTCAAAATAGAAAAACAAACTAAAAAGAGTTTGGGATGTAGCTCAGTGCTCCCTGGGTTCAATCCCCAGTACTATTTAAAAAGAAAGAAAGAAAGAAAGAAAGAAAGAAAGAAAGAAAGAAAGAAAGAAAGAAAGAATAATTAACATAAAAACAATGTAATATCAATATACAAATGATTAAAACCCAGAAGAATATATACAGCAACTTTGCTGAATAAGAATATACTAATCAATACTGTTCCTCTATGCAAGCATTAAAACTGGAAATTAACTTTTAAAAAGGTACAACTTACAATAGCAATCAAAATTATAAAGGATCTAGAAGTTAGCTCAAGTAGAATGGACTACACTTCTATGGGGAAGAAAGGAATCTCTTTTACGGGACATAATGGACTAGAAATAGGGCGGGGAGTGTAGGTCAGTGGTAGTGTTTGCTTAGCATCCACAAAGCAATGGTTTCAGTCCTTAGCATCACAAATGAAAAAGAAAAACAAAAAGGCAGGTGTGGTGGTGCACACCTGTAGTCCCAGCACTCGGTACTTGGGAGGCTGAGGCAGAAGGATCACCAAGAGTTTGAAGCTGGGCTAAGTATTTAGCTCAGTGGTTCCGAGGCCTATCTCCCAAGCGCAAGGTCCCAAGTTCGATCCCTGGTACTAAAAAAAAAAAGTTTGAAGCCAGCCCAGTCTACATAGTGAGTTGAAGGACAGCTTGAACTACATAGCAAGAGACCTTGTCTCAAAAAAAATCCCCAAAAAACCACCAAGGGCCAAGGATTTAGCTCAGTGGTTCCAGTGCCTGCCTCTCAAGTGCAAGGTCCCGAGTTTGATCCCCAGTACCAAAAAACAAAACAAAACAAAACAAAAAAGAACCCAAAGTTCTCAGTTCTCTAGTATAGAGTTCCTACAAAATCATTAAGTAGGGGCAGGAATTTAGCTCAGTGGCACCGCACCTGTCTGGCAAGCAGAAGGTCCTGAGTTCAATCCTCAGTACTGGAAAAAAAAAATCAATAAGTAAACTTAATGAGTGGGCAAAAGATATGAACAGCATTTACAAGGATGGACTCCCTGGATGGCTAATAAGATGCTCGGCCTTACTGCTACTAATAAAAAAAACCAATACAGTAAAATAACGAAATAACACTTTACATCAACCAAACTGACAATTACAAAAACAGACAATCCCAAGTGTTGACAAAGATGCAGGGAAACAGAATCCCTGCAAGTCTGAGTAACAACTGATACAGGCCCTGAGAAGAGCAGTCCCCATGAAGAGTAATGAGGAAGGATGGCAGCTTCCTGGGCCTTCAGCCTGCTCCTGGCTGTGTGTGTGTATTCTCAGTCACGCCAGAAACATATAGCTGGGCATGGTGGCACACGCCTGTGATCCCAGCACTCGGGAGGCCGAGGCAGAAAGGTCACTGGAGTTGGAGGCCAGCATGAGCTACACAGGGAAAACTTGTCTCAAAAAAAAAAAAAAAAGAAAAAGAAAGAAACAACTGCTAAACTCTTGGCTATTCCCCTAGCTCCTGGCTTACTGTGTCTCTCTAACCCTGCTCCTGCCTTAAATCTTGGCAGCTTCTTAAAAGCTTCTCCAAGGATTTGCCTTCCACCCTACTTAATGATTTATTTTTTGTAATGTTAGGGATCAAACCCAAGGCCTTGAAGATGTTGGGCATGAACTGTACCACTGAGCCACACCGCCAGACCCTACTTTATTATTTTTTAAGAGATAGGGGCTAGGGGTGTGGCTCAGTAGCAGAACACTTGCCTAACATGTGAGGTCCTGGGTTTGATCCCCAGCACTAAAAAAAAAAAAAAGGAGAAACAAAGAGGGGAACAGGGTCTCCCTATGTTGCCCAGGCTGAGCCTAAACTCCTGGGCTCAGATGATCCTCCCTCATCTGTCTCCCAGGTGGCTGGGACCATACTTCTCTCACCCCTGCTTCATAAAGCACCTCTCAGCCACGACCTAATCCAGTACTGCAGCCTCTGCAGGCCTCCCCTGTGCACCACACGCAAGCGTGCCCCTGCCTTTGCAGAGCACTCCCTCTCACTCCCGCCAGTCCCACTGGCACTGCCCATCTGCTGCACCATGGGTTCAGAGCACTGTGTCACACACAGAGTGTGATTAATCACAGTTGCGGTTTGGCCAAACAAGTGCTCCAAAACCACAGAGGGCCCAGGCCTTGACCCTGCGCACAAGAGAGACAGCAAAACGTTTGACCACAGGTTCCAAGTTGGTTGAAGAGAGAAGCTATGAAAAGTGACAAGATCAGTGTGTTGGTCTCAGTGGGATGGAAGGACAGTGCCTCTGGACGTCTGGCTGCCAGTGCCTTCTCAAACACACTGTCCCCAAAATACTCCTCTCGTTCCTTTGTCATTCATTTTTCTGTCTACCGGATCATTCTCAACAACATTCAAACATGTTGTAACAAACAAAACTAACATGTTAATTCTTCCATCTTACATAAACCAAGAATTTATTTGCCTCTACTTTCTGTGCCAGGCTACTACTTCATGTTTTTTGCTTCTCTTCAAAGCAAAACTCTTTGAAAGAATTGCCTATAATTTTGGTGTCTACATCTCTTTCTCTTTTTGAGGAAGGGTCTCCTTACAGCACCAGGCTGACCTCAAACTCCTACAGGTGGTCCACTGTGTCCAGCTTTCCTCCTTTCTTAACTGCTCTCCAGACAGGACTTCAATGATATCACACCTCCAGAACCACTCTTGTCAAAGATGCCAGTGACGTCGATGCTGCTAAATGCAATAGTCTCATAGATCTCTCCCCTCTTTTTCCTACCTAATTTTTTTTTTTGGTACCTGGGATCGAACTCAGGTCCTGTGCTTGCGCACCAGGTGGCGAAACCACTGAGCTAAATCCCCAGCCCTCTCCAAAATTTCAGGTCCATAAATCTGACACCTGGAAGTATCTCCTCCAGGTCAGCAAGTCCAGAGTTTCCGATCTCCCCAACCCATTTTCAATGACACCTATCCCATCTCAATTCTATCCTTCCAGTCAGCTCAAAATTTCAGGAGTCAGCTTCCAATTTCTTTTTTTCTTTCTTTCTTCCCTTGAGATGAGGTCTTGCAATGTCTTCTAGGCTAGCTTTGAACTCCCAGGGTCAACCAACCCTCCTGCCTCAGCTTCCTGGGTAGTTGACACCAAAGGGATGGGCCACTGGCCTCCTAAGAGTTGTTGAAGGCGGGTGTTGTGGCGCATGCCTGTAATCCCAGGGCTGAGGCAGGAATTCCAGGGCAACCTGGGCTACATAATGAGACCCAGTCTCTCACCTCGATTACTACCACAGCCTCTTAATTACTTTTTTTTTTCAGAGCTGGGGATCAAACCTAGGACCCTGACAGGTTAGGCAAGTGCTCTATTACTGAGCTGCAACCCCAGCCCTAGTACCTCTTGCATAGCTAAGCACACAGAATGTTCACTAGCTTTAACTACAGGGGCAAAGAGTGAGGGCAATCTAGGTGTATGCAAGGGAATATAAGCAAACCAGAGAACACTATGGAACAGTCAGAACTAATGAACCAAATTGCGCTTAGTAATACAGATAGCTGTCAAAAACAATATGAACACCAGGTGTGGTGGCACACGCCCTGCCCTTGTAATCCCAGCACTCTGGAGGCTGAGGCAGGAGGATCCCTGAGAGTTTGAGGCCAACCTGGGATACATAGTGAGTTCAGTTCTGTGCCATAACTGCACAGGGAGACCCTCTCTCAAAAACAAAAAATGAGAAAGATGGTGAACCATGGAATACCGAGCACTGCTAGGTGCTGGGCAACACCTGACAAGTTGTACACAATCCCGGCACCATTGGAGGCTGGGGCAGAAGGATTGCAAGTTCAGTTCCAGCCCAGTCTGCAATTTAGCGCCAGCAGAGACCCTGTTCAGAGCAACACAGATCTAAGTATGGGGGGAAGGTAGCTCAGTGCCAAAGCCCTGGTATCAATCCCTGAATCACCAAAAAAAGACAAAAAAGTTCTGGCAGGAGCGACCCTAAGAAGAAGGGGCTGGAAGAGGCCTAGAAGGTTCTGGGGGCTGGGCAGGTGGAGCTGAAAGGCCCAGTTCCTGGATGGCTGCCCTGGGGGCGTCCCAGCCGCTCCTGGGGCCCGGCAAGTGGGCCGTGGGGGAGAGAGAGAAGGGGACCCCGAAACTGCGCCCCGAGCGCCACCCCACCCGCGCCTGCGAACACTCACGGATCTGCTCTGTCATGGGGAGGTGCGACGTGGTGAAGGAGAGAAAGCACTCGTTGCCCATGTCCCAGTCCAGGAGCCCGGGGACCTGGCCATGGAGGCTGGCCCAGAAGTCAGGGTGGCGGAGCTTCGTGGCCACCGTGGGCGGGGGAGCGGCTCGCAGGTGGGGAGCTCGGCCCGCGCTCACACTACTTAAGTAGCCTGCGGCGGCCCAGGTGCGGCTGAGAGGCGCAGACGCCCCGAGCTGAGCTCGCCGCTGCCCCGAGGGCTCTCTGCGCCCCGACCCTCGATCCTAGGGAGTCAACAAGGTTTGAGGATCCAGGAGGACCCATAGTGTGTATCTCACACCTTTTCTCCCCTGGCGTCTCACAAGGATCTTCCGATAGGGCTAATAGCGGCTTCCTGAAAGTTCTGATAGGTTTTATGGTTTATCTAAGATCGCATATGTAGCAGGTTGTGGAGATAGCATTAGAATGAATGTTGATTTAACTTTTAAAGTTTCGAGTTTTTTGCTGGGCGTGGTGGCGCATGCTTGTAATTCCAGCACTCTGAGAAGCTGAGGCAGGAAGATCTCAAATTCAAACCCAGCCAGGGCAATTTAAACTGAGTGTGCTAGTGTACACCTGTAATCGCAGCACTTGGGAGCCTGAGGCAAGAGGATTGCTGAGAATTCAAGGTCAGCCTGGACTATGTAGTGAGACCCTGTCTCAAATCTCAAACAACAACAACAAAACAAAGAAAAAAGTAACTCACTATAAAGGCCTTGGATTCGACCCCCAGCATCTCCTCCCCCAAAAAAAGTATGCGATACATTACAATTTAACAGAATAGCTATGAGTGGTGGCACAGGGCCCTAATCCTAGCACTCTGAAAACTGAGGAAGGAGGAGCACCACAAATTTGAGGCCAATCTGGGCTACATAGTAAATTCAAGGCCAGTTTGAACTCCACAATGACACCCTATTTTAAGGAAAAAAAAAAAAAAAAAATATATATATATATATATATATGTATATATAAAGCCCAGCCAAGGTTCAGTGTGAAAGCCCTGGGCTCCACCCCCCAGTACCCCCCGTAAGGTTGGTGATACTTTAAAATTTACAGAAAATTCAAAAAATGCTATGAAAAAAATCCTGTATACCCATTCACACAGATTCATAATTTTTTTTTTTTTTGTACTGGGGCTCGAACTGGGGTCCTTGTGCTCCCAAGGCAGGTGACGGAACCACTGAGTTAAATCCCTGGCCCATCATTATTAATATTTTAACTATTTGCTTTTTCCATACATATATACTGTCATTTAGATATATATATTTTGTTTTGTTTTGTTTTTTTGAGACACGGTCTCAATATGTAGCTCAGGCTGGCCTCAAACTTGTGTCCATCCTGCCTCAGCCTCTGGAGTGCTGGGATTACAGGCATGTGCCACCATGCCCAGCTATATTACATCATCATCATCATCATCATCATCATCATCATCATCATCATCATCATCATTTGGTTGCTAGGGATGGAACCCAGGCCTTATACATGCTAGACAAGTGCTCTACTACTGAGTAGCATTCCCAGCCCATATATGTATATTTTTTTCCCCTGAATTATTTGAGAGTAACTCAGACATCTTGCCTCTTTACCCGTAAGCCCTTCAGGATGTGTTTCCTAAAAACAGAGATGCTGGACTGGGGATTTAGCTCAGTGGTTCCACTGCCTGTCTCCCAAGCACAAGGACCTGAGTTTGATCTCCGGTACAAAAACAAAAAAAACAAAAAAAACAGGGATGCTGGTTTACATCACCAGAAAATTATCAAAAATGTAACATCGATGCAAAACCATATTTAATGTATAGATCTTATTCTAATTTTACCAGTTATCCCACCTATGTTCTTCATATAACTTTTTAGTGGTCTAGGATCACCTTCAGATCATGTAGTGCATGTAACATCTATTTCTCTTCAGTTACTTTGGTTTCCTTTTACTCTTTTTGGAGCAACAGTTTCTTAGCCTTTGTAATCTTTCATAATATTGACCTTTGACTGCTGGGACCTGAATCCAGGCCTCCTGGTGGTAAGTATTGAGCTGCACCCCAGCCCACACTGTTACTTTTGTTTTTGTTTTGAGACAAATATTGCCTAAACTGGTCTTGAACTCCTGGGCTCAAGTAACATTTACATTTTTTTTCCAGTACTGGGAATTGAACTTGGGACTGGACACATACTAGGTCAGCGCTCTGGTGCTGAGCTACATCAGTCAGCCCAACACTGACATTTTTCAAGTGCAGAGGCTATTTATTTTATAGAATGCCCATCAGTTTGGGTTTGACTAGTGTTTCCTTGCAATTAGAGTTAGATTATGCAATTTGGGGGGCAAGAATGGCAGAAAAGTAATGCCTTTTCTTAGCATTTTGCTTCAAAAGCTGTCAGTTTTCTCATTAGTATGTCAACTTATATCATTTGGTTTAGGGGTATCCACCAGGTTTCTTTTTTTTTTTTTTGGTACCAGGGATTGAACTTGAGTCCTTGTGCTTTCGAGGCAGGCGGCAGAACCACTGAGCTAAATCCCCAGCCCACCACCAGGTTTCTTGATTATAAGGTTACCCCCTCCTCTTTTAAATTAGTAAGCAATCTGTGGGGAAATACATTGCAGTCACCTAATATTCCGGGTTTTTTGTTGTTTTTGTTTTTGTTTTTATTTTTAAGACAGAGTGTCACTATGTAGTTCAGGCTGACCTTGAACTCATTATAGCCCAGACTGGCCTCAAACTCTTAGCAATCCTGCCTCAGCCTCCCAAGTGCTGGGATTATAGGTGTGTGCCATCATGCCCCACTAATTACCTAATATTCTGATTCTGTTCATCAAATTTGAACCCACTAGCATTCATTTATAACTTGTCTGAATCAGTCATTACTTATGGTGGTTATAAAATTATAAGTTTTCTACATTTTTTTCAGGGCCTTCCCTCAGTTTTTCTTCTTTCTTCCTTCCTTCCTTCCTTTCTTTCTGTACTGGGGATTGAACTCGGGACCTGGCGCTTTTGAGGCAGGTGCCGGAACCACTGAGCTAAATCCCCGGCCCCCCTCACTTTTTCTTGATACAGGTGGTGGCTGATTTGCCCAAATTGGCCTTTAATTTTTGACCTTCTTGCTTCAGCCTCCAGAGTAGCTGGGATTACAGGTGTGTGCCTCCATCCCTGGCTAATTTTTTAAAAAGATTATCTTTTCTTCTTTATTTATTTAGCTGTTCTTCTATTAGGTTAATAAATTTTTTGTTTTGTTTTTTTGAGACAGGGTCTCACTTTGTATTTGAGCCTGACCCTGAACTCACTAAGTAGCCCACGCTAGCCTCAAACTCGAAGTGATCCTCCTGCTTGTGCCTCCCAAGTGCTGGGATTACAGGCCTGCACCACCACTCCCGGCAGTTAATACAATTTTGTAGGAGTGCCAGCTGCCTGCCTCTCAAGTGCAATGTCCCAAGTTCTATCCCTGGTACTAAAAAAAAAAAAAAATTGTAGGAGACCATTGAGTGGGCATCTACACTGGGCCCAAGAGACCAAACTAATATAGAGTTTAATCATAGCAGTTGAGTTTTACTTAATTTCAGGAGGCCCCATAACTGTAACCCAGTTTATGGCTCTAAGCTGTAGCCGATTAAGTTGTCTCTCTACCTCAATTCTTTCTATAAATGCTGTCAGATCATGTTGTCAATTGGACTTCTCAGAGCTTGCTTTAGTTCTGGGACCTTCTGGATTCCCAAATCATTTTTTTGTTGTTGTTCTGTTTTCCTTGTTCAGATAGACTCTCCTAAATGTAATTGGTTTAAATTTTTTTCCTTCTAGCCAGGCATGGTGGCACACACCTGTAAGCCCAGCACTTGGAAGGCTGAGGCAGGAGGATCACTGCAAGTTTGAGGCCAGCCTGGGCTACATAGTGAGTTCAAGACCAGCCTGACCTACATAGTGAGACCTTGTCTCAAAACTTTCTTTCTAATTATTGAAAAGAGGAGCTTTTCTCTGTTTTGTTTATTATCAATATGGACTTGGGGCCAGGGATTTAACTCAGTGGTTCCAGTGCCTGCCTCGAGCGCAAGGTCCCGAGTTCAATCCTTGGTACCAAAAACAAAAAACAAAAAACACAAAAAA